CTGACAAAGGCTTATGAGAACATACCCTCAGCAATTCCTGAAACTCATGCTGCATGCAATGCATTTCCTCAACAAAAATGCGAATCCATTGGAATGGGGGGCTAACCAAAGAGTTCTCTCCATCGAGAGGACTGCTCTAAGGGTGCGCTTTATTGCCATATATATCTTCACCTTGTGCATGGAGAGGTTGGGTCACTTGATCGAGGTTGCAGCGGCGGAGGGAAGATGGAAACCGTTTAAACTCTCTTAAGAAGGACCAGAGCTTTCTCATTTATTCTTTGCTCATGATCTCATTTTTTGGGGTGTGGCGTCTGCTGAACAAGTTCATATCATTAACAGTATCTTTGAGGATTTTGGTGCAACATCTGGATAATAGATTAGCAAGCCAAAGTCATGCGCCTACTTCTCAAGGAACGTTACATCGAACCTGGCATCCTCTCTCATTGCCGAGCTAGGCATCCCTAAACCTAAAACTTGGGGGTGGTACCTTGGGGTCTCGGTTATTTACGAGTGAGTGTCGAAGGCAACTTTCATAGACCTGATCGATAGATTGATAATCGCCTGGCAGGCTGGAAGGTCTCTACGATGTCCCTCCTTTCCCGAATTATGCTAGCCCAGTCAATTATGTCAACTCTTTGGGCATACACAATGCAAACTACATTTCTTCCAGCAAGGGTGCGAGAGTATGTCACCAAAAAACTAAGGGTCTTCATTTGACGCAACTCAGAGGCAGGGTTCATCTCCTCGACTGGAGACACTTATCTAACAATCATGTGGCGATTGGCCACGAAACAACATAGTCTACGGGCAAAAGTTGTTAGAGAAAAGTACATGCGGCTGGGGGAAACAGGTTGGATACCGCGGAAAACATGTCGTATGTCAAATCTAATCCTTTGTGTGATACATCTTCTCCCAGAAGCTACTTGGTGCGTTCCCACCACACAACATATCAGGACATTCTTTTGGTTAGCCACACAAAATTGTTTGTTGACCAACTCGGAGCGACACCGCCGACACCTATCGAGCTCTGAGGATTGTCCAGTTTGGGCAGTCTTCCTGGATAATGAGCCGGACGAGTCATTCTTTAAGCAAAAAGTAATATAACTTATTTAATACTACAACAACTATCACAGAAATAAAATAATTAAAACTACCATACAATAATTTTCTTATATGCATGTATATATTATTATACATATATTGATGACAATGCATCAATTTAACTATCACCAAAATCAAACGAACTAGTCATAGTTGGAAATGACAAGTACGCGAGTGACTCATTAATTTGACATCTTTTGGTGTTGTTGATAATTAAATAGATTCATCATATTATATTATACTTGTAATTAAGGACTGTTGCGCAATGTAGTTTACATGGTTTGTTTTTTGTGATAACTTTTTTAGTATTCAAAAAATTATATTACTTATTATTTGAAATATTACTTTTACTGTTGTTTGAATGAGAAAAAATAAAAAAATATAAATAACTATGAATATAATTGAAATACAAACAATCCAATAATTTTCTCAACCGTCAACCGTCTTAAATTATAGTAGAAATATTACTATTACTCATTTTAACTCATATTTTCAATCACATCAACAAGATAAAAATAAATAAAAAATACATTATATATTCATTCACATTATAACAATCTCAGCAAAACCTTACCATCCCTCTGAAAGAGATTGTGAAATATCTAATGGATTCAAATTATTTGAATGGTGAAAAGTCGCATGTAAAAGTAGCTACCATAGATGTTAAAAGAGTGAAACAAAAAGAGACCTCAGATAAAAATGGATTAAAAATAATATAAATAAAGGAGAGTACTTCATACCCATTGCAAAGCAAGGGCCAATAAAATATATATATATATATATATATATATATATATATATATATATATATTCAGACTGGCGTACGTCAGACGTATGCTATACGTCAGGTACTACTAGTGAGATATCTCTATTTAGGCCATGAATTAAATCGAGTTTGGGGTGTGATACTATACCCTAACCTCTAATGGATAAACCCCAGGCACCGATTTTCTAAACCCCAATCCGAAGTTTGATTTAATGAAAAACAAAAATTGACCGTTGAGATCGGCTGGAGCTCATCTAAGTACATCTAACGGCTAGATCACCTGGCATATAGTATACGCCTGACGTACACCAGTCATCACCATATATAGCCCTAATTTTCCACAAACATAAACGTACAATACACCTAGCAACATTGAAAGAAAGAAACCCGCCGCATGCCCCGGATTTCACCCGGGGTACCGTAGAAGGCACCATATATATATATAATTGTCAATAAGCCACACCAGTGTTTCAAAAGTTGGATCTTCTGATCCAAGCCCTAATTTTCCACAAACATAAACGTACAATACACCTAGCAACATTGAAAGAAAGAAACCCGCCGCATGCCCGTGTACTGTACACGCAGACACCTTTTACTGTACAACGTGACTGGAATTTACTGTTTCAAGCTGGCGTGGGCTGGCGTGTGGGCTATTGTTGGGTGAGGCCTCATTGGGATCTGACGTGGGATCTGGCAGACTCTGGGGTCTCGGTCGGTGTGGGACTGGTCGTTGGCTTCTGGTTGGCCTTAGTTGCGGTCGTTTGGTGGCCCGGACGCGCGTTGGTCATCAGAGATCGGTATGTGACTTTGCCCCTGTCCGTGCACGTGGGACGGGGCCTTCAGATATACTCAGTAAGTCTTGCGTGATATGATTGTGTCTGTTAGGGATTCCTAGAGGGTCGTGTTGGGCTGTTGTTCGCAGGACTGTGTTGGAGAAACTTGGCGGCTGATTGGCTGGGGTTGGAGGTGCTTTGGGGATGGTTGACAACTGATTGATACCGGTTATTCACCTGAGGGGGGGGGGTGTCAAACAGTTTGCTGCTTGCAGCTCTGTACACGTCATTCAGTGCCTCGATGCGTGCGCTCAGGTGGAGAAGGGTATTTCTCATCCTTTTTTCACAAGAGGACTCATTCTTGGAACTCATTTCCCTCTTTTTCTTCTCCCCTCTTTGTTCTCTGTGGTTCAGTCGTTGTTTTCTCGCCTTTTTCCTCACCATGGATGCTACTCTGCTCTGCAATCTCAAAGGAGGTACCAGAGAGGTGACTCTGAGGCTTCGTCTGCTCCATATGTGGTTTGCCAAGAATCCTTCTGGAACAAGGGTGTTTAATCACTGTTGCCTTTGGGTGGATCAGACGGTGATTCTCTTACGCTGATTCTTTGTGATTACAGTGCTCTCTGTTTTTTACCTCTTTTTTTTTTTTTTTTTTTTTTTTTTGCTTCTTTGCTCTTTCTTGACTGCCTTTCTTTGTTTTGATTTAGGGCATGCTCATTCAGAGCCTGGCTGATGTCTCTATTGGGTCTGAATTTGAGCGTGTGCTGCGTGTGGGAGTCATCTACGTTCTTAGGTCTTTCGGTCTCAGTGCCGCAAGGAATCTCTATCGTGCTTGCTCATTTGATATGATAATAGAGTTGTCAACAACAACTATTTTCCAGGCCTGTTCTCTACCTGCAGCTGAATTTCCAACTGATTCCTTTGAGGTTGTTCCTTATAGTGAGCTGTCTAAGCGTTCAGGGGACAATCGTATCCTTGCAGATGATTATTGCGTTTTCTTGACTGAATTGGGTTGGGTTTTATGTCTTCTTACTGCTCTTTTTTTCCGGTCAGATGTTGTCGGCCGTCTTCATTCTATTAGCGGGATTGATCATCAGGTTACTAATCACGGCTCGACTCCAAAACAAGTTCTGGTCCTTGAAAATGCCCAGTAGGTCTTTCTGTGCTTTTATTTTTGCACTGTTGACTACTGTTTCGTCACCTTCACGTAGGATCTGATCGTTTGTTTCACTGTCAGGGGCCAGAGGGTGTCAATCACTCTTTGGAATGAACTGACTGCAGTCCTTGATCGACCTGCTTTGATTCAGGCGGACTCCATTGAGCCAGTGATCATTGGAGTTGGGGGACTCATGGTTGGTCGTTTGATAGGTGTGTATTTTAGCTCTTTCCATTCTGCTTGATCATGAATTATGGACTGATTTTGTTTTTATTGTACAGCCGGTGAATATTCCTGTTCGAGCTCCTCTGGAACCCGTATAGTTGTTAGCCCGAGGATACCGGAAGCTTACAGCTTCGCTGCTTTGTGGGTTCTTTGTTGTTAAACTGTGCTTTTGTTGTTCTGGATTTGCTTTGTGGTGTTTGGTTTGCTTGACTTTTTTGTTTCCATCTATGCAGTTTTGGTGGATCCAGGGTTCCTGTGGCTGATTTACCGGTCAAGTTTGCAACCCCGGGGGACGCTGTTGCTGATGCTGAACGGAGAACCAGGACCATAGCTGAGCTTCTTGATTTGCACCATAGCGGTGCTTCTATCGTGAGTTGCATTCCGATATAGTTCTTGATTTTAGACTGGTGCTGGGGTTGTCCATTTATTTTTTTCTTTTTTGTTTTTTGGGATTATCAATGTTTATTTAGGATGAAAAGCATCGTTGCGGTGGTATAATCCGATCGGTTGAATCCCGGAGCCCGTGGTATTACATGTCATGCAGCATGTGCAGAAAGAAGTGTTCTACGTGGCGAAATGGTAACTACTGGTGTCCTGACCATTGGGAGATCACTGAGCAGCAAGTGACAATTGGGTGTGTGTTTTGTCTGATCATTAGTTTTTGTTTTTGTTTGTTTCACTGTGTGCCTGTCAGGTCCTAGAGAATTTGCCAAATTTTTTGATTTTGCACTCCTATGCCTGTCCTGATGGATTTGTCTCTGTTTTTTACTGTGTCGTCTCTAGCTACAAGATCCAATTGACCCTACGTGATGCCACTGACGAGGCGCCTTTCATTATTTTCGGCCCGTGTGGGAACAATTTGGTGCTCACATCTGCCCAACTGCTTGCCCAGAGATATCCTCACAGGTCTGGCCAGCTACCGCCTGGACTTGAGGGTTTGCTCGGCCAGTTTGTCAGGTTTGAGGTCAAGCTTCCAATGGTTGGGTCAAGTGGAGTATCTACGGGTGAATTCCGGGTTTTCCGAGTTATGCCCCGTGATGTTCAGGGCCCAGTGCTTGGTCTTACAGGAGTGCCAGATGTCACGGGTAGTGTTTCTTCGTCCCAAACCCTAAGTCAGTCCTATTCTGGTCAGGAAGGAATGTTGCTCCTGCCTGCTCCAGATGTACCTTTCGCAGCTTCAGCTTCTGCTGTCATACCATCTAGGTGAGGGTTGTTTGCTCTATTGTTATGTTTGTGTTGGTTAATTACGGGGGTTTGGGTATGGGTTTTTCTTTGGTTAGTATAATTGTTGATCTTTGCTGTTACAAATCTAGCTCATCAAAGGGAAAGGAAAAGGTTGTTGACTCTGTGTCGGCTGGAGGCACGAATCCAACATTCCAGGTTGGCCAGGTTGCAGGGTTGCCTCTTAGGTAACATTTGGACTGTTTGACTTGATTTGGTATTGATGCATTAACCTGTGCTTAGTTGCTGTTGTGGCATGGTAAATACTTATGTGCTCATTTGGTTCTTACAGTTCATCCCAAGTTCCTTTGGTCATCAAGGAGAATGCTGTTATGTCCGACGTGATTTCGCCAAATTTACCGCCTCCTATTTCATCTATTGCACCTTTGCTTTCTGTTGCTGATATGAAAGGAAAAGGAGCAGGTCCAGGGGAAGCTGTTGTGGCAGCTCCTTTTACCATTGCAGATCCTTTGAAGGTCTCTGATATCCAATCAGTTGGTGCTGTGAAAGATGCAGTGGGGACTCCTGGAACTCGAAGTGATGGTATGGATGTGATGAGTTCTACTAGCCAGGGAGTGCATGGATTGTCATCCATTGCTGGGCTGAGTTCTGATACTCCTCAGAGTAAAATCATCAAGTCATCTTTGACGGTTTCGCCTTTGTCTTCAAGGAGTCTGTGAGTTTTTTACTTTTAAACTTATCGTGTCATGGTTAGTGTGCAGTCGGAATTTATTGAATTGGTCTTTGACAATGCAGCTTGATATCACCTCTGGCTAAGGTGAAGATTGAGAAGCTGGAATCTTCTGAAACTGGATCTCCTAATGTGAGGCAGGATGATGAGCAAACAGAGAGTTCGTCCCCTTTTTCGCTTGCTGACCAAGCTTCACACCAGGTACCTGGGAAGCCTTCTACTGCTAAGCGTCGCCTGTATGAATCTTAGGGTATAAATTCTAAACTGATCCCTTCGTGTGTTGTTTATTAGTTTTGAATGCTGATGAGTTATGTTTTTATACTGGATCTAAGTTATATTAGGTGCAAGAAAGGTGGTTGCCTTTTGTGGATGCTGGATTTGCTGCCAGGAAATAGTACTTTTGATGGTGGGCGGGATGATTATGTTGTTGATCGTTTGAAGTTGTGCTGGTTGGAGGGTTCGCAGCCCTTTTGGCAACTTCTTAGGAACCTGTTTGTAGACTTTGTTCTTACCTTGCCTGGCCGTTTCTGGAAACTTTGTGGAAATTGTGTTGTTGGTTACTAAACAAAACTAATGTTGCTTCGGGTATCTGTTTATGTGGTGTAAATTTTAAGTGCATGTAATTCTGTGTGCAAGATCAGGGTGGTCAGTTTGGACACCTGAAATGTTGTGACCCCAGTGTGGTCAAAACTCTGACCTTTTGGTCCCTCTTTTGTGCAATGTGGATGCTCAGCAGTTTTTATGCATTATCAAAGAATATAGTTTTTATCTAAGATGCCTGTGTTTTACATTTATGTCTTAACTGTATGTATATGCAAATATAACAAATGTTCTTTACATCATGTGGTGGAAAAGAGTAAGTATTGTCCACAAGAAAAATATAGATAAGAACAGGCGAAATTAGTAATGGATAGCAGACATGCTAATATTAAAAGGAATCTTTTGGGTTGCAAGATTAAAATGATGGGCCATGTCTATTTTTTACCCAAATCTTTTCAAAATTCTTTTAATTTATTCAAACCTATTGAATTTCTAATAATTATCCAAACGTTAACTCTCCGTCAACTTTTCTGTTAATAATGCTAACTAAGCATGACCATGATGAGTTGCCTTCTCACGTGGCAGTCCGAATACTATTATTTACTATGTTTAATAAAAAAATTATCAAAAAATTAATAAAAATAAAAAAAACAAAAAACAAAAAAAGATCTCACCCCTCACGTCTTCTCCCCTCCCCTCTCGCTACTTCCCCCTCCGCCTCTCACTCCTACCCACTCCTCCGATCTCTTTCTTCGCAACCCTCTCCAATTGCAGCGAACCCTCCACCCGCCCTCTTTCTCATCGATATGGCCGTCGTTGTCGTTGCTGGGGCCTATGGGGAAACCCCAGGTCGCCGTTGTCGAAATCGGAAGCCCAATCAGAGAAGGCTGCCGGCTCCTCTTCATCTTCCTCCAATCCTCATGCACCAGCACCAACGTCAGTGTCAGTCCAAGCAATCCTCACGATCTCTGCTCCCTTCCGGCGCCCAACCCATCATCGAACTCGATTCTACAAAACCCATCTTTTGATTTTTTGTTCTTCTGATTCATAGATCTGGATTTCCAGTTTCGACGGCGGGCGATGGCGTCGATGTCCTTCTTAGTTTCGACGGCAGGCTTGGGCGACGACGGGCGAGGCTGACGACGTGTGGGGTTGGGCGTTGGGGTTGGTTTAATGGAAATAGGTTTTGTGGTGTGGAAGCGGAGAATAGAGGAAGAAGAAGCGATGGAGTTGCAGAGCTACTGGAGTTTTTAAATTTCTAATTATATTCTTTAGTGATATAAGAGATTTTTTTTTTCATTTCTGAGTGGACGCTGACATGAATGCATACGTGGAGTTCCGTCACGAAATAAGTAACGGTGACAAAACGAATGCCCAGACTTTTATCAGTTATAATAAGTTCGGATAATAAATAGAATTTTGATAGGTTTGAGTAAAATAAAAGAATTTTGAAAAGGTTTGGGTAAAAAATAGAGTAAAATAAAAGAATTTTGAAAAGGTTTGGGTAAAAAATAGACATTGCCCTAAAATGATTTAGGTTAATCATGTGCCCAAAATCTCAAGCATTAAATGCAAAAGCCATCATTGTTTACCCTTGGTTACAGAACCAGCAGTCACAATGACTACTTGGATAGAGATTAGACACCTAATATAAAATTATATATTGGTTGTATAATATCTTATTAAGGAACACATCAGAGATCAAAGAGATTTCATCAATGGACCTTCAACTTTCTCTTTGCCCTCTGGTTTTTGCTCCTGTGTTCAGCAAGTAGTTCTGTTTCTGTCGACTTTTTCCCTTCAGTAGAGTGTCAGCAAGCTAGAGTATCCAGCAAGGCAAGACCTGCTGATCAGCTGTTTGGAACTACACGTCAGAGCCACACATCATTGGTGATATAGACCCCCTCATCAGATACAGTTAAGCATGTTTGTATTCGTTATTCCTCAGTTACACATTAATGGAACCTTATTAAATGGTTTGGATCCTTTTCTTTGTCTATCTGACCAAGACAGAACACTGAAGTTTGGAGTTATTGAACTTTTGTTTTTTGCTCATTTAAGTCTGACTGGGTATCAAACATTTACTTCATGTAATCAGAATGACACCTAGAAAGAAGAAAGCGCCTTCCAACCTGCTGAGGCGAAAGAGAGGTGACACTTCTTTCACAATCGAATCCTCCAGGAATCCAACTAACACCTTTACAGATATGAACGTGGATAATACCAGAGTAAACAAAAGATTGAGAAGCCTACCGTTCATTCTCTCAGGGGAAATTTCAAAGTCGACAAATGCTCACAACAGTGAGTTCGTTCCTCCAGATCCTTATACAGAAATGGGTGATAATGAGGCATCTTGCAGTTCAGCTACAAATGAGCGTCGATGTCAAAAAGCAAAGAAAGCATCAGCTGATGTCCCAACTGCAAGGAAGCCATTGCACAATGATAGGCTTAGCGTTGGAAAACCTGACTGTGTCTGTCAGTTCTGTGGCGCTTTTTTTTGGTATGCTGAGCGATTGGATTGACACAGGAAATCCTTAAATCCTGTGTATAGTCTTTGTTGTCAGAAAGGAAGAGTTTGCATTCCCCTATTAAAGCCACCACCTCCATTGCTTGCTCAGCTGTTGGATCTTAATGGAGGTGCAATGTCAAAACATTTTAGGGACAACATCATACCCTACAATGGCTCTTTGTGTTTCACATCTTTTGGAGCCAATCTGGATCCGCGCTCTTTGACAACGAGAGGACCATATTCGATGGTTATTTGTAGTGAGAATTACCATAGAATTGGATCCTTACTTCCAGTTGATGGAAATAGGCCAAAGTTTGCTCAGCTATATATATTTGAACCTGAAAATGAGGTTAACAACAGACTTGCAAACTTCGCATCTCGAGAGGAAGTCTTGCTGCCTGAGTTACTTGCAAGTTTGCTTCGAATGCTTGATGAAAACAACGAGTTGGTCAGAACATTTAGGCGCATTCGACAAGATCTCCAGCTTTCATCCACACCAAATCTCTGACTCATAATCTTTGGGATCAAAAGTAGGAATCGACAGTATGACTTGCCAACTAGCTCTGATATTGCAGCCTTAATACCTGGTGATTTTGTTGCAGATAGGGAGGATAGAGATATCATTGTTGACCATCAAGGAGAAGGGCTGAAACGTATAACAAGCCTCAACCCAAAATTCGAGGCTCTTCACTTCCCATTGCTATTCCCTTACGGAGAAGATGGGTTTCATCCTCAAATATCTTATAATGCCTCCTTTTGTCCAGCATCAATGCGAAGAAAATTTGTTACTCAAAGAGAGTATTATGCTTTTAGACTTCAGTATCGATTGAATGAGGGGCATACACTGGTTCAAAGTGGCAAGGCATTGCAACATTACTGTGTTGATGCATTTTCCACAATTGAACTCAATCGACTGGCATTTCTTAGAACTCATCAAAAAGATTTAAGAGCAGAAGTTTATCAGGGATTGCAGGATGCATTTGCAAAGGGAGACATGGATGGAGAAAAGCTTGGAAGAATTATAATGTCATCATCTTATACAGGAGGACCAAGATATATGCAGCAACTTTATCATGATGCTATGGAAACATGTCAACATTATGGTAACCCAGATTTATTTGTTACATTTACCTGCAATGCTCTTTGGGAAGAAATTGTTGACGCTTTTGCAGATATGGTTGGACCAAACAGCGAGTTGAAGCCTATGGTGGTCTGCCGTGTGTTTCACATGAAGCTTGCCATATTAATTGACCAGTTCAAACGGGAATCATATTTCGGAAAAACGATAGCCAGTGAGTTGGCTCTAGATAACCTTTCATTGTATAAAATTTCTTTGATTATTTGAATGAGCTATCAAGTTCAAATGATGGACTGTTTTTTCGCAGTAATCTACACAGTTGAGTTTCAGAAGAGGGGCCTCCCACATGTCCATATGCTTATATGGTTGGCCAAAGAAGATAAACTAAAGTCAACATCTGACATTGATGAGATGATTTCTGCAGAAATACCAGACCCCAATCTAGATCCAGAAGGGTATACTGCAGTGGTTAAGTTCATGATTCATGGACCTTGTGGAGTTAACAACCCCACTGCACCATGTATGAAAGATGGTAAATGTTCGAAGTATTTTCCGAAAGAATTCTGTTCAGAAACTTCGTTCGACAAGTTTGGCAATGTCGTGTACAGAAGAAGAAATTCAGGCATTCAAGTTCAAAAAGGAAATGCAATGCTGGATAATAGATATGTCGTTCCATACAATCGGAACTTATTGGTTAGAGCTCAAGCCCATATTAATGTGGAAATATGTCACAAAGGAGGATTAGTGAAGTACTATTTAAGTACATTACTAAAGGACCAGATAGATCTCTTACTGTTGCAGAAGACTCGACAAGCTCAGTTCGGGTACCATCAAATATAACGAAAAAAACAAAAGACGAGATACAAGAATTCATTGATTGCAGGTCTCTGTCCTCCTACGAAGCTATATGGAGAATCAACGAGTATTCTATTCACCACAGAGAGCCCAATGTGGTTCGACTTGGTGTACACCTGGATGGACAACAAAATGTTTCATACAAGAGAAGGTCAAATATCCAAAATGTTTTTCAAAATCCAAGGGCAGGGAAAACTCATCTTACTTCATGGTTTGAACTTAACAGACATGATTGCAATGCAAGAAAGCTTACATATGCTCAAATACCAAATTCCTTTACATGGAATGAAGAATAAATGAAGAATACAGTGAATGGACTCCAAGGAAAAGGGGCTTCGCAATAGGAAGGATAGCATATGTTCCTCCAGGAAGTGATGATGTATTCTTTCTTGGGCTGCTATTGACCGAGCAACAAGCTTCCTCAATTTAAGAACAATACAAGGGGAGGTTTGTAGTACTTACGAAAGAGCATGCCAAAAGTTGGGGCTTCTATCAGACTCTTCAGAATGGATTCAAGTATTACAAGAAATTGCAGCATCAAGTATGCCACACATAATACGGACTACATTTGTTTCAATGCTAATGTTCTGTGAAATACCTGATCCTAATGCTCTATTTGAATCTTCATGGAGGTTAATGAGTGAAGATCATGTTTATTCTCTTCGTAAACAGCTACACTCAAAAACTTTCCAGCCTTCAGATGAAAGACTTTAGAATTGGGTGTTACATCAACTGGAAACTTTGCTGAGAACTTATGGTTCTTCACTTCAGCAATTACATCTCCCAAGACCGACAGATTCAGAACCTGACGATGGATCAAATACCTGATTAATGAGCATCTTAACTTTGATGATGATCAACAAAGGTTACTGGCAAGCACTATGGTTAGCAAACTGAACACAAAACAGCTAGAAGCTTTCACACTCATTATTCTCTCTATCAACAGCAACCTTGGCAGTTCATTTTTCCTATATGGCCATGGAGGAACAGGCAAGACTTTTCTCTACAACGCAATCATTGCAAAATTAAAAAGTCTCTCCAAAATTGCTATAGTTGTTGCCTCATCTGGAATAGCAGCCACTCTACTACCAAACGGTACAACTGCTCATTTAAGGTTCAAGATTCCCCTTCATATAGACCATACATCTACATGTTCCATAAAGAAAGGTACTCATTTAGCTGAGCTAATACGTGCAGCTTCATTGATTATTTGGGATGAAGCACCGATGACACATCGAAATGCATTTGAGGCTATAAGCAGGAAGTTTTGTGATTTGATGGACATACCACTATCTGGTCCAAAACACAAGCTGTTTGGAGGAAAAACAGTTGTCTTTGATGGTGATTTTAGACAGACTCTGCCAGTAATTTCAGATTCAGGAAGGGAACAAACAGTTGATGGATCCATCACGAGGTCATCGTTGTGGCCCTTTTTTCAGGTGCTCAAACTGTCAAGGAACATGAGGCTTAATGATTCACAAGATAATAGAAACCTGGTCGGCTGTGGACTGAACTTTGGTGAGTGGATTCTGGCGCTGGGAGATGGAAGGCTGCCAACAAAATCTTTTATGCCAAACACACCTTCGGATTGGATTGAGATACCACAAATAATTTTGATATATGCTGGAAAAAATCCAATCGAGTCAATCACAAATGACATATATGACGCATTTGAGGAACAACACATGAGCACAGATTACCTAAGTGGAAGGGCCATCGTTACTCCTACCAATGCAGCTGTGACTGAAGTGAATGACTTCGTGTTGCAAAAAATTCCTGGGCATTGCCGTTGCTACTACAGTTCAGACTCTATGCAACTAGATACAGAGGTACCTCAGCTATTCGCTGAAACTTACCCAACAGAATTTTTGAATGCTCTTCAGTTCAATGGTGTTCCAGATCATGAAATAAGACTTAAGGTTTACACTCCAATCATGTTGCTGAGAAATTTGAGCCCACCAAACGGGCTATGCAACGGTACGAGGATATTGATTACAAAATTGGGGGAAAATATCATTGTAGGAAACATCATGGGAGGATCTTTTGACACAAAAGAGGTTGTTATACCACGAATAGTACTCAACGTAGAAGACAAACGCTGGCCCTTTATACTGAAGAGGAGGCATTTCCCAGTACGTTTATGTTATGGGATGACAATAAATAAGAGCCAAGGCCAGACACTGGACAAGGTTGGAGTCTATTTGCCTAAACCAGTATTCAGTCATGGACAGCTTTATGTGGCAGCATCAAGAGTAAGATCTGCAGGTGGTCTAAGATTCTTGATTGAAAATGAAGAGGACGTTCCAGCCAATTACACAAGAAACATTGTGTATTCAGAGGCCTTCACAGATAATGCACCAGCTTAATTCTGCAAGCATCCAAGAAACTCGAAGTGGTTATTATGAACTCTCCCAACTTTTACAATTTTACGTCTGGAAAAAATTGTTCTTCCAGTTCTTGCGTTGTTCTTAACAAGAGACACATTTTGTGTTTTTTATTTTGAAACTCAAAGCTAGAAAGCATTCATAAGTTTTTGTCAGTTAATATCGGTTCAGACTTGCCAGAGAGAAGATAGAAAGAAAATTCGGTGAGCCCAACTGATACAACTTGACAGAACAATCAGCACAAGAGCGTATTGTAGCTTTTTTGTAAAAAGCCCTGATTCAACAGTTAGACGCCATTGCATATCAAACAGAGCCTAAACACGATGTCAAGGCCCAAACAATGGATCCAAAAAAGACTTACCCTAAGTTAACCCTAGCTTACATAAACTACCGATATGTTTTTTATGCCTTCTAGAATTGGCCGCGCAGTCAAGATACAAGAAACACGGGAAAACCAGGGTCTCGAAGAACTGGAAGCTTTCTTCTACCTAACAGATTTACAGTTGTATAGTACAACTCATCCGTGAGCTTCCATGGACCCACACAAAATGGAATCTTTGAGGAATAAGCATCAAACTACAGATCGCGATTGTGTGGTCCCCAACGAACTGAAAGGTAAATACATTGAATCTGGAAAGAAATCCTAAAAACGCATCTCGATTCCTATACGAGTTTTTTCCATTTATTATTTATTCATTCGTCATTATTCGCGTTGCAGATTCCATTGATGCAAGCATGTGCTTTCGGGGACTGCGTTTGGGAACAAACAATCGAACCGTTATAGCTAGACATGTCGTTACATGGTCTGAGTTCCGAGAAGTGCCTTTATCCACATGGAAGAAAAGGACATATCACATGCTCTGGCTTGACAAAAAGGTTTGGATCCAGATACCCCAAACTATATTCATAAATATTCGTCAGAGCATTTGATTCAGTGTTAATGCAAAAGAAATTACCAATATACAAACCCTAGACATTATTCAACCTACTGCCCATTACTAAAAGATCAAAAACTCTTGACAACATATCTATCTACCATTGACTTTACAGGACAAGTTGATCGAAGCTCAGGTTGAAGAAGAAGAGGCAGCTGAGCTTTTTAAGAAAATCAAGGTTGGCTACCTGCATGAACTACAAGATATTGTAGCAGGGCCAGCAAGGTCAGTGCAACGCATTGTCCATCAAGAGTTGCGCCTGCTCCTCACTTCAAATCAAATTAGGAGGCACATTGAAGAATGACATCACTACAGGAAAATACACCTTTCATTACAGGAAATCCCGTGACCAAAGACACATATCCCGTGACTAATTTGATTTGCCACGGGTACTTTCCCGTGGCAGGAAGGCCCGTGATCAAACGTCATTCGCCACGAAATATCCTGTGATTGAAAATGTTTCACAACGGGCGAAATCCCATGACAAGTAATCTCTTTTGTCACGACAAATCCCGTGACAAAGCAATTACCATGGGAATATTGCCATGGCCAAAACATTAAATAGCAATGGGATGTCCCGTGACTAAGTGTGTTTATTTATCACGGTATTAACTCTTTAGTCACAGGAGTATGGCCTTCAGAATGTTCCTTACAAATCATGGGGTTTCGCACAATGGTCACAGGAATCCCGTGATTGTTATTCTCCTTTTTTCTTTTTGACAAATTATTCTACCATTATTCATATGCAATAACAAGTTTCATATTAATAATATGGGATTGTTATTACTAAAAGTCTCATCTGCCAATTCCATCCAACTAATCTTATGAAAATCTGTCGCTAAAATACAAATATATTCACAAATGTACATTGATCGATATTAACATACAATTAGGAAGTTTAGTTCTTGTAGTATTCTGATCATATAACATGATATAAAATGATCAACCATTCACAAAATATCAATGCTACTACAAAATAATTATGATAGTCTCCATCCTTCGTCAAAATAAGATCACCACCGCACTCTATAAATGTGCACGAAGGGCTTAGTCTTCTTGTATTTTGCCCTTCTTGTGTTGTACGCCTAAATAATAAAAGATAAATTACAATAGTGAGATTCATTAAATAACATGGAAACCATATATTAAAAGAAAAACCAGAATATATACTAGGGAAGCCTTCTATAAAAAAAATACTAGGACTTAGTATCATCCTCCCAAATAATAGAAATCTAAATACAAGCCTTAAATAATATATTCACACCCATCCCAAATAAGTACCACTAGAGCCAATATTTCTATCAAATTTATATTGTTTACTTAGGAATTAAACTTAATTGGTCTCCATTAATTAGGGGTACCTGTCAATAGCTAAAGACAATGCTAGCTTAATAAGAGAAATGAATGAACAAAATGAAGTCCAAACTTGTGGTTCACAAGTTCTGAACCAAAGACAGCAAAAGAGGCAGATGATACCCCTGTTATGACACAACAGAAGAGACTAAAGACACCTCACAACTAAGACAAAGAGAGCAAAGTAAGCAACACATCATATCAAAACGCTAACATCCACAACTGAATTCTCCAAACCGCGAATACTAGCTCCTCCCAAGAAATAATCAATATCCCAACTAGAAATGATAAAAACACAGTCCAAGCATGCTGAAAATTTAAAACAGAAAAAACCAAGTAGCTTCATGGTGTTCTTTCCTCTTCATAGCAAATACATTACAAACTAAAACTTAGAGAAAAAACTTACAGAAAAAATTAGAGGATTGCAGACCACCAAAACGCCACAAATAGCTGCAAAAAGACAACATAAAATGAAGCACAAGAATCATCAGCAACATATATATACAAGAATCCTGCTACTAGTTTTTGTTTATCCTTTTTTCTTACCCTCCATTCTGTTTAGAGGAAGCTACCATAGATAAGAAATAGCAGCAACATATACATTTCAAACCAACAGAAAAGTACCAATTATTGCACAAACAAACAGCTACAACACAAAAGCAAGTAGTAGTCACAAGTACCTAATTTTGTCTATTTTGACTATTTTCAACCATTTGTTTCAACCTAATTCTGTCTATTTTGACTATTTTCAACCATTTTAGCCTATCCAAAAAGAAAACAATAATACTCAGTTAAAATATAAAAATGAACTAAGTTAAAATGTAAAAGCTTTTAAGTAATTACATGTCTTGCATTTGCTGCCACATCCTTAATTATATCTCCTTCTTTATAAGTGTCAAACACTAGCTCTACTACAGTTGGAGCTCTTCCCAACTTCTCAGTCTACAAAATGCATAAAGAAACTTCAAACCGGACATAATTTTTAGCAGGTCCAAATGGAAGAAGAAACTTTCAAGCACCAAATATAACATATGCATAGAAGTCCAATAAACTTGGCTGGTTGTTAGACCTTATTCAAGCAACCAGCTGTAATTATTAGCTTAATTAACTGTGAAAATAATCGGTAAGGTAATTACCAAGTTCAACCCAATTTGTCGAACCGGTTTCCTTCCACTGTGCTGATTCATTGTTTTCTTTGCTATGTTTTCTTCATTTCTCTTACTTATCTCCTGCTTAAGGATAAAATCAAGTGTTCAACAAAAAACTGATTTGTAAAGCAAGTAAGCAAAAATAAATAGGAGATATCAGTAGAGTAAAATTATCTAACCAGAAATTCTTTAGAAAGAAACTTCTCCTTCACAACCCACTCCCAATCTTCTTTGTTGAGGAATCCTGGAACATCTCCGAGAATATCTTCCAAGTTGTCACGAACTTTCACATGTTTACAATTCATCTTAGATCTCCAAGTTCTCCATATTTCATTCATATGGTCGAAAACATCCTCCTTTGCAGATTCCATATCAGGATTTGTAAAATATTCCTAATACAAAATTATAAGTACTTAGCCGCAAATTTCCTAGACTTGATAAGTAAGTTCATATTTCAGATTCAAGTAGGAGTAGCCGCAAATTTCCTAGACTTGATAAGTAAGTTCATATTTCAGATTCAAGTAGGAGTAGTTACGTACCTTAACTGCAGCCCACATATGTTCTAATTCTTCTCTACCTGTCTCATCCCAATCCTTAACTCTAACCGGGCACATCTGTGAGTTCCGAATAATTGTGCCAAGGTAGCTTGACCAGACGGATCCATTAAGACCAGCACCACGCCTGTTTTTGAAGATGATTGGCAACTTTTGCCCAGGTTTCAAGTTAATAAGTTGTTTGCAAATTGTTCTGCCCCGTTTTTTCCTTTCTTTTGTCACTCCTAAAACAGTATAATCAGTAAAAACATCTATAAGCACAAAATGAAGATGTAACACAACATGTACTATAAATCATATGCGCTAAAGGTATTAATGAAAACATAATGATGGTTATACATCCAACTGACTGTACAAGCAATGACTAGGGAGTGAAATCCATTCACATATTACTATGTCATAGCTCACCTTGATCAGGCTGCTGATTTTCAGTTGTATTTTCAGCCATGACCACTTCTTCCACTGGTGGTGGGCGTACAACACTAGTCCTAGATGTATTCATATCTCCATTGTTTCTTGTCACACCGACACCTAGAAATACATAAACAACATAAAAATTCAGCAGCATATTATAGGTTATAAGTTTGTAACAAAAGAGAGAATCCAATGCACAATAACACAAACAAGGTTGCATGCTTTCAAATAGCTAAGAGCTTCATAGCTCACCTTGATTGACAGGCCGCTGATTTTCAGTTGTATTTTCAGTCATGACCATTTCTTCCACTGGTGGTGGACGTATAACACTGGTCCTAGATGTATTCGTACCTCCATTGTTTCTTGTCACACCAAAAGTTGGAAATATATGAACAATATAAAAAGTTAGCAGCATATTACAGGTTATAAATTTGTAACATACAAGACAATCCAATGCACAATAACACAAATTTTTACCCATCATAGGTTGCCTATGTGATGTATCACGAGAAGTTGAAGAAACATTTGGTGTAGTGATTAATGAATCGAAGCTTGCTCGTTTTGTTATCCTCCTTATGGAACCAGGTGCAACAAAGTTTGTCACACCTTTCTTCTTTGTAGCACCCAATGATTTTTCAGCCTGCTGCCCTGTCATTTAATATCAAAGGAATAACATCATAAATAAAGATACACACAGTTTTATAGATTCTAGTTCAGACATGTTAATTCTTGTTCAATACAAACATAAAGATAGCAAGAATGTCAAACAATAAGTTACCAAACACAACTAAGGTTTTAATTACAACCTAGTTAAACACGCCTGCAAGTAAACATGGCACGCACATACAACACTACAACATATATATATATATATATATATATATATATATATATATATATATATATATATATAACAAATGCATGACTAGTCAACAAGGATTGATCATTATCATGCTTGCTTTCGTTTCTTCCTCTTTGTGTATACTGTTCTTTACTCTTATATAGTTAGTTTACTGTACCAAAATATTAATAAAAATTGTATAATTAAATAAAAAAATAGAAGAATGAGACAAAAGCATAAGGAGGAACAGTGAGTGTCTTAGTCATAAACTATCTCATAACTTGAATAAACTGATAAGTCACGAACCCCTTTTTTCCAACACCCGCACCCACAGTTTCTATCCTCTATCTCTTTGACGAAACTAACTTGAAGACCAAGGTATATATTTAACCAAACCAAACAGAACCTATCCACCTTGCCAAAATCCAAACAAAGCCGCACCATTATTAGTTAGCTCTCCATCTCTTTTTTTTTTCTCTCGTCAATACCAGCAAACCTAAACTAAACCATATATTTCATTATATAGTTTGAAGAAGCTACCAACTAAGGAAACATGAAGAGGCAAAATGACTCGCTCCTGGTGCAATTAGAGTGGGATAACATAAATGATAACATCATAATAGTATATTCAGTAGTGAGACAGAACTTAAATTACATCTCATTGCAAATACCTATAAGCAGAAACAACAGTCTCGACTTTAGGGAAGACTTTAGGTGCTTTAAGATCTTTGACAAACACACTATCTACTCTAGAGCAATAGGCAAGGATGACCTGTCAATTAACGTTACCTATAACATAAAAGGTTGTAATTATACTGATTTAAAGAACCAAAGGTAACCAAGTGGCAAACAATTGAAAAATGATGTGTGGAACTCTTTTTTAATACCAATTACTACAGTAGCAGCCAAAAAATGTACAGTATAACAAATTGGGACATCATCCCACTATGCTCCATCACCCTAAAAAACACACAGAGCAACAACTACAACTTCCAGAGAAGCTACAGACTTTCATTTAATTGCATTATAAACCTTATTATTTTGGTTTCATATCAACAAAGAAAAGAAAATGAAAGAACCAAAACTACAAGCCCATGGAGCTTATTCTTGCATTCTGCTCCCCAAACTTCATGTACTTGATGGCTCTAATAAGTTAAGTTAGATTCTAAGTCTGGTGTTCAGTTTCAGAGGACTTTGTTAACGTACCTCGTATTGGTGAGTATGAATATGGTCAGGAGAAACTAAGCCACTTCTAATATGTTCGAGGAGTACCTAGTAAAAGGCTTATCAAGCTCTTTTTCCCCAATCATGCATAATACAAAGAATAAACATTGTATTCAAAGGCAATCCAAAATCCACTATACGAATAAAAAAGGCAAGAAAACTACGAAAAGAATGAGAACATATCAAAACCATAGGCGCAAAAGAAGAACTAATCACAGGAAAACCGAAGTTGGAGGATGGAAACCAAGCTGAGACAGGAAAAATCACCGGAAGTGCATATGAACATACATATACAATAAGGAGTAGAGATGAAGGTGGAAGCTGAGCTACTAACCTTGAAGCCAAGCGAATCCTTGCTAATTTTCGTAGGAATACCGGAAAGCAAGCTTATAATCCAGATGAGAGAAATCGATCATTCATATTTTAAAACTCCGATTTCAGTCGCTCTGCTCTCAGCTTCCACCTGTCTTGAGCGACTCCTCCACAAACCCTCTCCTATGACTGCGATCCCTTTGCAATCCTCCTCTGCTAGACCAGCGACTTCACCAGTCACACATGGTGATAAACGCACGCGTTCTAATCATCGACGACGGGCATGATTTGGGGCAAAGAAAGAACCAATGAGAACTAGAAATTTTAGGGATTTTTCAGAGTTCTAGCAGACAGCCCGTGTGAAAAATTCTCTTTCTTCCAATGAGCGTTTTCTCTTCCCCTTTTTTTATCGGTTTCTCTTTCCCTTGTTATTGGTAAAGCAAAATTGAAACCCAAAATATCTGCCAAGATTTCACTATGGAGGGAAAATGAAAAGTTTGCCGCCAGGGGCATTGTCACGGGAAAGTTCCAATTAAATACCATGGGAATTAATCCCATAGTTTATTACAGTTGTTGGGTTAGAAACAACACGGGAAGTATTTACCGTGATGGTAATTAAGCATTTGACCATGGGAAAAATCCCATGATTAAAGTCCCGTGATCAAATGTCATTATTCTTGTAGTGCATGGACCCCAGCAGTTTCCAATAGGATCATACACAGCAGCCAATTTTTCCATTGTGCCTCAAACATCAGAAGACTTTGTCTGCCATTCAGTTAAATATATGTCTCTCTATCCATGATTAAGAACATCATTGAACAAAGCATAACAAACATTAAATCTGCAGATGTTACAGGATGTGTTAGGAGACTAACTCATCCAGAAAAAATTAAAGGAATGATTCAGAAATTCGACCTGGTCATACAAGATGTCTGGTATGCTCTTAAGACTGTACAATTTGTTTTGCTTTGTAAGAATGTATAGTTAACGCATTGCTTTGCAATCAGTGGAGCAAAGGCTTATGTTGAATACAGTGGGCATGACATTGATGATTTCCAGAAACATGCTCCAGCAATGGAGTCAAAGTTACCATTGATTGTGACAATCAAATCAGTTAGTAGAGTGACTCCTAGACATGGCAGTAAATATCAGTACGAATTTCGATCCACAGTTGCGAGTAAGCTTATCATTCATTCTTATACAGACAACTGCAAGGATATCATGAACATGTGAGTTGCTGTATATGGGTTTGCCCAAGATAACTGATTGGTTCAACCACTATCGAGTTAATGATACTTACACATTGCTTTTCAACATGTAGCTTTCTTGCATGTCGCAAACCAGTTTACTTCTTCGATGATGCTACTTGCAAAAAAACTGGCCACCTGCTGAGCAATCAACTGCCAAAGAAATCGTTGAGAGAGATAAAAGAAAGGATGGAGGACCTGTCAGATTTCACAGAGGTATATGAACAAACACAAGCATTAACATCAGCTGTCTATTTTCATCTGTTTACCTGTATAATACATCCGACATTTTATGCAACAGGTCACTTGCATGACATTGATTGACATTTCAAGGTTTATATACAGAAATAGCATCTGCAAAATTCGTGAAGAGAACACAGGGTAACCTTTTGACCATCCTCCCATGTTTACACATGCGATAATAATAGTTTTTATATAAACCTAACAAAAAGATCTTTATTGCAAAACTGACATACAAACTGGAAGGGAGATGTCGCCAAGAAGGATCTGAAATAGATGTGGTGTTTGAGCATGAAGCAGCTCTGTCACTTATTCGTAAGTCACCGTCAGATTATCTGTTTCTAAAGAAGGACCAAATCATAGAATTGATCGCAAAGAACTGCGGCAAAAAATTTGCGGAGGAATTGAATCTCGAATGGAAAAAAGTGGGAGCCAGTGATTCAGACATACAACCAAAAGCAACAGTGATCACCCTGTGGGACCTACAGCATTCGAGAAATGATGATGTCCTTCAAAGCTTGCCATTTTGATATCGTGCAAACCACAAAGGCACGAAACTTCTCAAAACATTTTGTCCTGCCAAGCTTGAAATCTTCAGTTATGTTTATTTTGACACACTCCTGACTACAGTTATGTTTATTCTGCAAACCCAGTCAATCTTTTGCATAATGTTTATTTTGAAACCCCAGTGTTTTATGTTTATGACAACATTATGGCTGTATTTAGGACATAAACGATTATGGTTATAGATTATATTAAATCACATTGAAATTATAACAGAATTAGTATCCCGCGGCGGAGCGCGGGCTGAATCCTAGTTCTTAACTATAAAGAGATATCTACAAACACACTCCCAAACCACAAACCCAACATCACCATAATCAAGGCAACTAAACAAACAGCAGACTCAAAACAAACAAAGTTGACAAACCCAATATTGAAATGATCATGACGAGGATGATCAAAATCAAAGATGTGAAGCGGAGGAATTGAAGTCCAAAGGAAATGCATTGCTCCCCATTCCCACACCGTTGTCCAGATAGTAATGGTGAGGGTAAGCAGCATCCATCGCCACAAACTGCATGTCCTCGGTTGGCTTCCAGTGCCTCTTCCTCTGGTTTATGAACCAGTTGTTGATCTGCTTCTGGTCAAGCCCCGTCTCCTCAGCCAGCGCCACCTTCTGCGATTCCTGCTCAAACCACAACAAAATTCAACAAACGTGACACAGATCGATTCAACAATTAATGCAACAAGAAAACTAGCTAGCTCTGGAGGGTTATATAAATGAAGTGTTACCGAGGGATAGGGCCATTTGTAGTGTCGGTTCCACCACTCGAGCAGCTGATTCCTCGCTTCTTTAGGCAGCTTGCCTTTCTTCTTCTTTTTGAGGAACTCCTGCTTCAGGTTGCCGAGGTATCCGCTGTATCGACGGAGCAGCTGGACTTTCAGCTCCTTGTCCTCGGCTTGTGGGTCGATGAAGCTGGCATCGAGTCCGTCCATGTCATCCTCCGACGATCCATTATTATTCCTCCCAGTGATGAAGTCACCGGAACCTGGAAACCACGTGCACACCCAAAGTAGACAACCAGTGAATCGACGAAAGATGGAACCACAAGTAACAAATATATATGTTACGTGTGTTTGAGAAGTTTGTGCGGTTTTCATCTATGACTGATCATTATGCTAAGAGCGCGAATTTTGAGGAGTAGGAAGATTCGTGCATGCTATGGCTATGAGGTTGGTTGGGGGAAAGGATCAAAGATTCAAGGCCAAAACCTTTTCTGGGGTTTCACAAAGTCAGTCATTCGTGTTTGCTCTTCAAAACAAGTTGTTCGATGCAGCCAGAGATCAGTTGCGCGGCGGGTTTGAGTGAAAATGAAGGGAGGCTTGTTTTTGGGAATAGAGTTTGGGATAGGCCATCACCGCGTGGGACACCAGTGGTGAATGATCAGGAAGTATTCACCGCTTTCGATCGTGATGGTGAAGCGTTCATTGCTTTTGACAGCCGCGATGAAGTCCAAACATGTGTAGATTGGGAATATTTTTTTATAACTCATGTATTTTGATTTTTTTTTTAATAACGTGTGCATTTTGAGATTTTTTCAGAAACCATTGCTTTGTTTGTAGGCCCCTTTCAATACCTTTCTTAGCACTGAACATGTTAATTAAGTAGAGCAACCTTTTCAACTTCTAACAGAATGGTAACAAATCTAACTTCCACAAAATTTTACAAAAACAATGAGAGCATGTGATAAAAGATATAAAACTTCTTGGGTAGGGTTACTGAATTAAGATTGATCAATGATTAGGGATTTGATAGATGATTGGTACACATTAGTAATTTAGGATAGAAAGAAAGATAATTAGAGATTAGTGATTTAGAAGAATAGGCAGAATTGGATAGAACAAGCTGGCGGTATTAGAAAAGAGATAGACGAGATTTAGAGGGTTTGGGAGAATAAGGTTTGAGATTTATTTATGTAATATTCTACTTGATTGCGATCTAATCGAATGCTCCAAAGTACATATTTATAAAAAATACAACGACATTCTAATCATAAATTTAAGACGACTTAAATACTAATAATAATAATAACCCCGAAAGAGTTGGTTTCCATCAGCATCTCTCCAAAAACTTGGGCTATCGAACCTCGAATCTTAGGACGAACAATTATGTAAAAACCAAAACACTTATTTGATTAAATTTGAGAAAGTAGAAATGTTCCCACTTAGTTAAAATTTACCATTTAACCTAGTGGTAAATGTGGCATATATGATAAGACAAATTTTGGGTTAGCAATCATCTAATGAAGTTACCAGTTTAGACGACTACAAAGTAGCCTATGGTACCAAGTGAAAAATCATATAATTTCTTGTAGCTAGGCACTAACCCCAAACAATCCTGTACAGATGATTAGCACCAGTGACAGTGAGAGTAGTGCATCATCTCTCAGAGAACAAATTGCAGGTAGGTAAGTAGCTTAGCTCTATCTAAAGCAGAAACCCCTTCAGTTTCCTCTCGTCCCTTTTTAGTTTTTACCCTTATCATTTACAAAGCTCAAGTTGGCTCCATCAAGGAAGAAAGGGATCAAATTGAACTCGAGTTATCCCATTATCACTCATTGTCTATTCGCAGATGACACAGTTATTTTTGGGAAGGCTAATATTCAGGAAGCAAGGAAAATAATTGATATTATCAGCAATTACGGAGCAATCACGGGGCAAGAAGTGAATATCAACAAGTCATCCGTATTCTTCAGTGCAAATGTTCCAGTGGATGAAAAGGCCTCCATCATTGCCCATTTGGGGTTCGCCTCCTCCAACTGCCACTCAAAATATCTTGGTGTTCCGACGGAGTGGGGCAATTCGAAAAAAGAAACTTTTAGCTTTCTCATTCAAAGAATGGAAAAGATGGGGGAAGCTTGGAAAAGCCTTCTACTATCTCACGGGGGAAAGAAATTCTGCTAAAGGTCGTTATTAAAGCTATCCCATCCTACATCATGTATCTGTTCCATCTCCCGGTGAACCTTACCAAAAAAATGGACTCTCTCCTCACCAATTTCTTCTGGTCAGGGTCTATGCAGAAAAGTAGCTTGCACTGGTGTAGGAAGGAGGTTCTCTGTGCTCCGAAATCTGAAGGGGGGTTGGGTTTCCGGAGCTTTAAAGATTTCAATATGGCCCTCTTGGCAAAACAGGCGTGGCGCCTCCTCTCTTCTCCCGATTCCCTTTGGAGCCGCCTCCTTAAGGGACTCTATTTTCCACGAGGAGACTTCATGAATGCTAAGAAGGGAAGCAGGTCATCATGGATATGGGCAAGTCTCTGGGAGGCGAAACAAGTTCTGAATTTGGGAGCAATTAAGGTCATTGGATCCGGAAAGGATACTTGGGTGGGACTCGACCCATGGATCCCCAACCTCCAGAAATTCACAATTAAAAGTGGTCCCCAACAGCGGATAAAGGTCAAAGATTGGATTGATCAAGACAATAGAGTTTGGGACTTGGACACTATTAGAGGCCACGTTTCAAATGAGGAATGCGATGCTATTTTGAGAGTACCAATTGGGGAGGAAGGAGCTGAAGATTTTTGGGCGTGGAATCTGACAAAAGAAGGAATGTTCTCGGTTAGGACGGCTTACCATGCTTTTCACAAAGCGAACTCTAACTTCCAAGCGATGGGAACGGTGGACAAATGGAAATGGATGTGGGGACTGAACCTCCCTCCTAAGCTTAAGTTCTTCATCTGGAGGTGCTCCAGGAATGGGTTGGCGACTAAAGCGAGGCTTTTCCATTGGAAATGTGCCCCAAACCCGAGCTGTCAAGTTTGCAATTGCTCAAACGAATCCATTGTGCACTGCCTTTTCTACTGCCCTCATGCCAGTGAAGCTTGGAACAACGTCTTTCCTTCTCTCCCTCTCCCTCCTCAGGAATCTTCGTTCTTTGACTGGATTTGTGATATTAAGGAGACCATCTCACATGATTCCCTTATCCATGTCGTTTTCCTTTGCTGGAATATATGGAAGGCAAGGAATGAATGCACGTTCAAGAATAGAGTCCCTTGGCCCCCAAACGTCGGTCTACAAACTTACAGAGAACTCTCTGAATGGACCTCTTGCCCGAGGCCTAATCCCCCCATCCCTGCCTCTTCGACTCAGCTCAGGGGAACCCATTCCACTACGACTTCCCCGCCAAGTAATCATCCTATGGAGATTCACTGTGATGGGTCGTTCTTTAGCGACCCCCAGTCGGCGGCTTATGGTTTTGTTGCGGTTAACCACCATGGACAAGTGTGTGATGGGCGAGCTGAGAATCTTCTTTGTTCCACCCCGATTGAAGCAGAAGCAAAGGCTCTCTTAGAAGGTATAAAATTAGCACAAGAATATGGATCAGTGTGCATTGTCCAATCTGACTGTCAGGTGCTGGTGAAAGCATTGGGACAAGAGAAATCAAGATGGCCATGGTGCTGTTCAGCATGGATTGGTTCGATGATTAGTATCCTCAGGACAAACCCTGCTATTAAAGTCAAAGAAGTGCCTCGAGCATTGGATGTCAGAGCGGATTGGGTTGCACGATCAAAAGCGAGATCTAATTTACCGGATGACTGGATTAATATTCTTGATCTAATTTCATATCTTCTTTAAAGATTGTAATTTGCTTACTTTTTCAAAGGTGGAATAAAAGTTGAATTACTTGTCAAAAAAAAAAAAGGAAGAAAAGTGGGTGAGACAAGAACCCTAGAAATGGGTGGTCAGAAAAAGAGTAGTAGTGATCAAATCAAACGTTACATACATCACCAGTCAGTTGTTTTTCTGTTGTAGCTGTAGAGCACAAAGACAAAGCAAAGAGAATCTCAGAGGCCCTATAGGCTATACCTAAGTAGAGCCTGTAATCCATAGACCATATATCTGTGCGCCAATGAACTTTTCATAATTAAACACCTATTATTACATTTTGGTCTGGTTCATTCATGGGAAGCTACGCCTCTCCCAAGCCCTCCGCTTTATGGACGTTTCGTCACTCAAACAAACAACAGTCGTTTTATTTTACCACACGACTTCAGAACAGGACAAATATAGATGATTAAACCCAGATGTCTCTTGTTTATCAAGATGCAGTGAGATATGGAGATCGAGATGGATATAATAAAGCGTGTTTACCGGCGGAAGTGGGCGAGGAATCGGGTAGGGTTAGGGCACGGAGCTGGGAGTCGACCTTGGAGAGGAAAAGCATGGCTTCTTTGAAAGGCTTGGAGAGCTCTTGTTCGTATTTGGTCAGCATCTCACAATAAGCCTCCATGAACTGATCCAGCGCTGGATCTTCCCCTATTCTACTGTTATTGTTATTGCGGCTGCTTCCTACTCCTCCTGATGATGATGACGCTGATCTTGCCGCCATCACCGCCGCCCCGCACACTTCCTCCAGCCTCGCCGCCACCTCCGCCGGCGCCCCTACCTTCATAATATTATGGCCAAATTCACTTGCATAGCCAAAACTTTGACGGTTGTGACAAATATAGCCACTTTTGGAGAAATACCAGAAATAGCCAGGAATTTGAAAGTTTGATGACAATAATAGCCATTTCCGTTACATAGTTTGACGGCGTCAATGACACCGTTAGTTAAATTAACGGAACGCTGACTTGGCTGCCAACTCACCCTCCATTTCATTTCCAACTCAGCACTCACAAGACACATCATTTACAAAAAAAAAAAAAAAAAATTTGCCCTATCCCTATTGACCTAATCTCTTCGAACCCTCTTCTTTCTCCTCGAGCAACCCACCGACCCTCCTCCCATCGTCAATCAGACAATCACCATTAATCTGCTTCCATGACCCCTCTTCTTCTCCCATCTGCTACTCTCCTCATCCTTCGATTTCTTCTTTCTCCTACAGCTAAGAAAACAAAAAACTAAAAGATTCCTCTCCATCTCGATCTGCCCTCTACCCTCTGCTCCAATCGTCTCATCTTTTCATCTCCTTCTCACCTCCATTAAAACCAGCAGCTACCGCCGGTCAGTCTTCGCCACCGTTGCCAAGCTCCCAAATCTCTCTTCCCCTATCGAACTCCCCTCTCTTGTCTTCACTCCCAGAATTTCAGCCACCGTTGCCAAGCTCCCAAACCAGCAGCTACTCACCATTCTCCTCCAGTTGCCGAGCCCAGTCGTCGAGAGGAGGAAAGAGACTCCTCGTTGCCGCTGGTGAACTCCGACGCCGCTACTTCTTTTCCTGTTTCCAAGCCGTCTTGCCCGTGATTTTTCGGAACAGAGTGATTTGGCTCTGCTGGTCAATCGGCGACCCCAGTGTTGAATCGTGGGCTGCTCCGACGACGTCCCTAGCTCCGCCGCACTCGTACTCGACGACGTCCCCCGCTCCGCCACCTCCGTTTCCTTTTGCCGCGGACCCATTCTCCTCGTTCCTAGGCCGATTTCTGTTTTTAGCTTCAGAGGAGGAAGATGCGGCAAGATTTGGTATGGATGCAGATCGGATTAGCGACCCGGCGGCGAGATTTGGTCTGGATACAGATCCAACTAGTGACCCGGCATCCAGATCCGGTCTCAACATCCAAAGTGCTAGAGTAGGCGTCGTTGGAAGATGGGATTTTAGTGGCGGCGGCGAGACCCAGAACTGGCGGTGACCCAGAACCGGCAGCAACGGAGAATCGGAAGAGAATCGAGCTCCAGAAGACATTCAAGGAGAATCGAGCGCCAGACGAAGGCTCCTTCTCTATTGTCGGCACCACCACTGGGTCGACGACTTCAGTTTTGCTGGCCAGCGGGTCGCCGCCACCAAACGTCGTGGAAGTCTCTTGAAGAACATCGTAGAACAGCATCTCCATTAATCGAAATGGTAGTGGTGGTATCAGATTGATTTGGGGAATGGAAGGTTTCAAATGGTGGTGGTGCTATCGTCGACGGAAGCTGGGTGGGGATTTTTTTTTTTTTTTTGACAAAAGATATCATATATTGATAGAAAACATATCGATAGTTACACCCTGGAAGCCAGCCAGGTCTGGAAATCAAAATAGCGACCCATAGTCGGGGACAAAGAAAGGGCATGTCTAGCTACCATATGAGCTACCCTATTATCATCCCGACCTATAAACCGCAGACTAAAACCCGGATTATCCCTAAAGATTTGAACCATTTCCTCCAAAATAATCCCTACCCGCCTATCGCGCACTTCAGCCCTCACGATCTTCTCAATAATCACCTTGGCATCCCCTTCAAACCGCACAGCCATAAACCCATGCTCTAAACACCACCGGACTGCTTCCCTAAGCGTAAGGAGTTCAGCCACCATTGGATCGTCCACATGCCGAAACTGAAAACCTGCTACCCAAAGTAGCAAACCATCCTCATTGAGCAGAACCATACCACCAGCAGAATGTGACCCTCGTCGGACAGCCCCATCCCAACGACACACAGGACCCCCAGGACCACTTACCCCTATAGGAGAAAGGTTAGGCAGACGCACCGAGGGAACCTGCAGATCCCGAGACAGTCCAAGCCACTCCCCTACTTGTTGGTGATACTGCCTCAATAATTCCGCAATGGTAAATTGCTTTCCATCGAAGACCACCCAATTCCGGGACTTCCAAATTCGCCATAAAAGAGCCATAACCGCCATAAACTGCGAAGGTTGACGTAAGATAGCTAGTAAACTTTTGAGGAAGAGGGGGAAAGTATGGCGAGGCAACCCCTCCCCAAGAGAATCTAATCCTCCCTGCAACCACAGAGCCCTAGCCACCGGACAATCAAGGAAAAGGTGTTCCATGGTCTCCTTGGCCGCCCAGCAGACCGGACAACGAGGCAACACCTCCACATCCTTTTCAATGAGAGCCTCCGTCGTGGGTAAAATTCTACTAAGGATTTGCCATGCAAATACCTTCAGCTTTGGCGGAATATTCGCGTCCCACACCCGGATCCAACTTCGCTTGTCCATCCAACTAACCTGCGCCCGCCATCTACCATTCTGCTGATCCAAAGAGACCGCCAAATGATAAGCTGATTTGACAGTAAAGATCCCATCCTCCGAACCATACCAAATCAACCGATCCTCAATATTCTGCCGCGGCAAGGGCATCGCTTTAATCGCCAGGCAGGTAGGAGGGTCAAACCACTGACACAGCTTATCATCACACCAGCGCCCCTCCCCAGGACAGAGAACAGCCGAAACCGTCAACTCTCCTTCATCTGGCAGAACCCGAGGGTTGTACACCGGAAGAGAAGGCAATTGGGTCGGGATCCAATTTGAATTTAGCAACGAAGCCGTCTCCCCATTCCCAATCTGCCATCGCAAGCCTTTACTCAATAAATCCCGACCAAACAGAACACTTTGCCAACCCCAGGAAGGACGGGACCGCGCAGTAGCAGAGAGAAAGGAGCCATTCGGGAAATACTTCCCTTTATAAACCTGTGCTAAGAGAGACTGAGGTTCGTTCAGGATTCGCCATCCTATCTTTGCCAACAACGCTTGGTTAAATTGTTCGAACCGGCGAAAGCCCATACCCCCCTCATGTTTACTCTTGCAAAGATTTCTCCAAGAGACCCATCGAATCTTCGAACGGCCACTTTCCACTCCCCACCAAAATCTGGCCACATGTTTGTCCAAGAGGCGACAAAGCGATAACGGCAATCGGAAGCAAGACATCACATGGAGTGGAAGAGCTAGGGCAACAGACTTAATCAGAGTTTCCTTAGCTGCCCAGGACAAGGTCCTGCTTTTCCACCCCTGCAACCGGTCCAAGAGCTTATCTTCCAGATACCGAAAAGTAGCCGTCTTCGAACGAGCAATTAAGGTGGGCAAACCCAGATATTTATCCTGGACCCCCACCGCCCCTACACCTAGGATTGCCGCCAAGAAATCCTGATCCGGAAGAGCGACATTCTTGCTGAAGCACACTGCTGATTTCTCCAGGTTCACCCTCTGACCACTCAACTCCTCATACTCATTCAGGACCTCAATCAGATTCTCACACTCCTGGAGCGATCCACGGAGAAACAAGTAAGAATCATCCGCAAAGAACAGATGAGAAATCCGAGGAGCCCGCGGGGCTACCTTCACACCTTCCAGCTTCTTCTCCGAAATAGCTTTACGAAGGAGAGCAGCAAAACCCTCCGTGCAAAGTACAAAGAGAAGAGGAGAAAGGGGATCCCCCTGCCGGAGCCCTCTAGAGGACGCAAAGAAACCAGAAGGAGAACCATTCATAAGCACCGAAAACGTGGCAGACTGTAAGCACTCCTGAATCCAACCACGCCAAACCGAGTTAAAACCCATCTTTTCCAAAACCGCAAGAAGAAAGGACCATTCGACTCTATCATAGGCCTTTTCCATATCAACCTTTAGAGCCATATATCCCTTCTTTCCCCGAGTCTTGATTTTTAAATAATGCATTAACTCGTGGCCAATTAGGACATTATCCACAATCTGCCTTTCTCTAATAAAAGCGTTTTGCCCTTCCGAGACAATGAGAGGCAAGACCTTCGCTAGACGTTCCGCCATGATCTTCGTGATCACCTTATAGATGAATTGGCACAAACTAATGGGCCGAAGCTGTCGCATGGACTCCACTTGATCTACTTTAGGAATTAAGGTTAACCAGGTGTGGTTAAAGCTCCGGAGCATCCTACTTGTAGCAAAGAAGGAGCTAACCGCAGCCACAACCGAATCCCCAACAATTTCCCAGAATGCCTTGAAGAACTTTCCGGTGAAACCATCCGAGCCTGGCGCCTGTTTAGAGCCCATAGCAAAAACTGTCTTCCGGATCTCATCCCGCCCAACCTCCATCGTCAGGGCCTCATTCATTTCAGGCGTTACATTAGACGCAATAGGGAGGTCAGCTACCCGTTCCCGCATATTATGAATGTGGGATTCCGAGGTAAAGAGGTGCTGATAGAAATTAACCGCCACCTCCGCCTTCCCTTGCTCCTCCGTAACCCAATCCCCATTATCATTAAATAGACCAGAGACAAAATTCCTCTTCCTCCGGGTACGCGTGACCGTATGGAAGTAGGAAGAGTTCTGATCCCCTCTTTTCAACCAACGAACACGCGATTTTTGTTGCCAGTATCTCTCCTCAGCCTCCCATTGCCTGCTCAATTCCGATTCCAGAGAGTTCACTTCCTCCCAGTTGATTGGGGAAACAGCCTTTATTCTGGAAATCTCATTTTGCAAGGTATGGATATTACGCAAAGAGTTCGTGGTCCCCGCACGGCTCCAATCATAAAGCAGATGACGGAGCCTCTTCAATTTCTCCCACAGCTGGAACATAGGGGTACCATGTGCAGGCTCCTGCCAAACGTACTCCACCATAGCCTTGACCTCAGGGTTATCCGCCCATCTGGCATCGAAACGGAAAAGGGGGCGACATTGACGGACATAGGGTTGATCAGATAGGAGTAACGCCCTATGATCAGACCCTTGATCAGTGAAATGCTTCACCAGCGTCTCCGGGAAACGATCCATCCAACCTTGGGAACATAACGCCCTATCCAGTCTTTCCCGAATGCAAGCCACTCCCATTCTTTTGTTTGTCCACGTAAAAGGATCCCCTTGGAAACCAGGATCATGCAACCCAAGATTTTGGATCAAATTACGGAGGTCAAGAGCCCGGGAAGCATTCTGTTTTTATTATTGGTTGAGGATTGATAAAGGGGAGGTGAACAGGAGGTGTTGGTGATGGAGAGAAAGATAATTTTGTTTTTTATTTTTATAATTTTTTATTTAATTGTAAAAAGATAGAATTTTGTTTATTTTCCACTTACATTATTTTTGAATAAAATATGCCACGTCAACCGCTGCCGTTTGTCCAGTCAGCACGTTAATTAACACCGTCAAACAATTGGACGGAAGTGGCTATTTCTGGTATTTCTCCAAAAGTGGCTATATTTGGCAAAACCGTCAAAGTTTTGGCTATACAGGTGAATTTGGCCTAATATTATTAATAATAATTCACTTTTAAGTAATTATTATATGTTAACATCAACCACACTCATTAAAACGTGTGCCGACGTACGTACGGCTAACACCACTTGTTGTGATTAATAAATAAACAACAAATTAATAAGAGAAACACGAAAGGTGATTAGTTTCTATATTCAAGTCGTGTAATTTAGTACAAAGAGAAGTTGATTAGTTTTTTTTTTACAAGATATTTATTGGTAAGAATGATGGGATACATATATACAACCTTTTGGCAATTGGAGTAGGCGGCCAGGAGGCGAGGGAAGTGGGGATGAGACATGATTTTGGCCCTCATCGACCACATAACACTTCTACTTGTATTGGCAGTAGTATTACTAGGAGTACTAGCGACAGAAATGGAGGAGGAGGTGCCAATCAGGTTGCTATTGTTGTTTGGACCACCGCCGCCGCCACCGTCCATGAAATAATAGGGAGATGGGTCGCTGTTGTTGCTGTTGCCAAAAACCCTAGCAGCTGCAGCCATGTTATGGTGTGGCTGAGGTTGAGGCTGCAGGGGCGAATCATTCACCATCTCCATGGAAGAATGGGAAGAGGGAGAAGGAGAAGGAGAAGGAGAGGAGTGCGGAATCACAACGCCACCGCCACCGCCACCAACATTAATAATATTGCTACTTCTGCTGCTGTTACAAACTGTACGGCCACACTGCTGCTGATCCATTTTCTCTCTCTTTTTATCTCCTCCCCCGCTATTTCAGCTTCAAAGTTTCTCTCTTTTTTCGGTGGCTTCATACCTTCTTCTCTTTTTTTTTTTTTTATCTTCTCACTCTTGTTCAGTTCTTCACTGCTTGGAAAGCAAGAGAGGGAAAGGGAGGAGGAGGAACCCTACTGCAGAGAGCTCTGAGGTCATATATTTGTGTCTGTCTGTGTATTTTGGAAATTGGGGCTCCCTTGCTTCTCTTTTTTGTGGGCAGTGCTCCCCTTCCCCTCTTTGCCATTGCTCAACAGTGCTTTTGCTTTCCCAACTCTCTCTCTCTCTCTCTCTCTCTCTCTCTCTCTCATGTTCACCCATGAAAAAGTAGTTGGTGATGATGATTGATGAACGATATTCTCTCTTTCTCTCATCTTGTTACAGAAAGACCCTAATAGCCAATCTTTTCAATCTCTGAGAGCTCCTCTTATAATGGTAAAACCCTAATCAATAATGAAGATGAGTTGAACTTAAAGCAGTACTAAAAGATTTGAAATTATTCATTAAAAAAAAGGGTTTGCAGCTAGTTCTGAGTACATCTTGTGGAAATGGGATATTTGTGAACAATTATAAATTTTTACAATGTCATATAGCATTTGGTATGTGATATTTTATCATATATGAAGTTTGGATAGAGTTAGAAAGTATTGTATTGTGTTTGTGGTATTCTCACTCCAAATTGGTTAAACACACATTTATTCTTTACCCTTTCCTCAATAAAAAATACAATTCAACTTTCTTCTTTTCTAACCTTGTGAAAAGATAAATTAGGGTTGATGTTTCTACTCTTGACTTCTTTAGAGATGTAAACGGTAAAGGAGAGCGCGACGACGTTAACAATGGCTATGGTTATTAAATTGGTTAAAAAGAAGAGCATTTTAGACTCACTGAGAAGCAATGTAAGAGTCAACGACGGTAAACACGAAGAAGTATGTGAAGATAAATTTGATGAGATATGGTCGAAGAAAAGATTTACCAAAATTGGACAAAATAGTTGATATTTTTCGAAAAAGGTCAACCGGATGAAGCAGCTGCACCATTACAATAGAAAAATTGAATAATCCATACACTACCTATTGATCATTTGGATAAAATAATTTTTTTACTGTATATTTGTTCACAACTATAGTGAAGTAGTTATTATTCTAAAAAAAACGATAGAGAAGTAGTTATTCACTTATTCTAAAAAATAAAAGAAGAGCTAAAAACAAACTTATTTAGAACTTGTGGACGTGGCCATTTAACCCTTGGGATTATCAAGAGGCCTCCATACTCAAGTAAGCCAAACCCCTCAAGGTAATACCAAATTACCAATGATCATGACTTTGGCCACTCACTCACTCCACCATTGCACACAAAAAAAAAAGGAACTTCTCCGGTCCAAAGAGAAAGAGTTGGGATTGTCAAGGAACTTATCCAATCCAAAAAAAAAAAAACCTAGAACCTTACTCTTCTTTCATTCCTTCTCACTTGGATCTCCTCGCGTAACTTTGTTCAGATTTAACCAGAAATGGATGACGATCTAACTGGTGGGAAAGAAATAAAACTCTTCAGCAGTAGCTACTAGCTAGTATTTTATACAAGGCAAAGGATCGATATGATATGCTCCATGTATTATGTATTAAGATCTTTCTTATCACAATCAAGCCACTTCCTTTTGTTCCCAATTGGTCTCTTGGGAGGGGAGCTTTTTTAAACAACATGCTTTATCCTTTCAATTCAATCTATCTATGGTCTCAATCTTAAGAACGAACCCTCAAGTGAAGGTCAAGGCAGTTTCACGTGCTTTCAATGTTAGAGCTGATTGGGTTGCACGATCACTTGCTAGATCCTCCCTCCATGTTGACTGAATTAGTATTCTTGACCTAATTTCGGATTTCCTTTGATAAAGTGTATTCTCACTTTTTTCGCTTTTTTCGAGTTGGAACTGAAATAAAAATTGAACTTTATTGTAAAAAAAAAAAAATCAATCTATCTATCAAATCCTCTGCCTTGCACTATATCTTGTTGTCGGTGGTCAGTGGGCAGAGAAGTAGCCTCAGTGTTGGCAGTGGACTGACGAGAGTTATGCATTATTCATTAGGAAGGGAAAAACCAAACCCTCTTCCAACCCAAACACCTAACATAACCTAAGGGGTCGTTTGGAAGTTGCGATTGTTTTGTTGAGATTGTCATTATGCATGTATTGTTTCCAATGCATTGTTTTTTTGTTTTTTTAGCAGAAACAATACATGTATTGTTTCTGTGATGTGACAGAAATTATCACTCATTTTGAGTGATTGTTATATCTCAACTTTTAGTTGTGATTGTTGAGATAGTTGAGTTGAGATTGTTTTGTCTCAGCTTTTAGCTAATGCGACATACACAATCACACATACCAAACGTTGTATTCTACAATGCATCAAATTCGACAATACATGTATAATATTATACATGCATTCTCAACAATACATCTATTTAACAATCGCAACTTCCAAACGATCCCTAAATAAACAAGGAAAAAGATGCTGAGATTCACATATAATAATAATTCCTGTACAAAAATTTCACATATAATTGGTGTGTTCGTTTTTACATTATTTTCTAAAACTTGTCTCAAAATTTTAGTTTGAGTTCAAATAAACATACTTTCTTCATCTTTTGGTAAAAATTAGTATTCATTCTAAAACATACAAAATAGGGGAGCGGTTACGGTGATTACTACAAAAGTAGTAAATTGGGTATGTAATCACCGTGGTTACTAAGGGTAAATTGGGTATGGAAAAATAAATTACATTTTAGGTAGTTACAAAATCTATTAATTACAATTCTTTCTCTTTTTCTCACTTCCGTAATCTCCAACCAGATCTCTTTTCCATATTTTTCTCAATCTTTCTGCAAAGAAAAAAACACGAAATCACTACCAATCCATTAGACAACCACTACCATTTTGAAAAACATCAATACCATTGCAGAAATAAATCTATACCATTACACGAAAACTACCAATATAAACAATCTTTACCATTACAAAAGTCAAATAAATGGGAAATTTTACAATGCTATATAGTATTAGTGCTATAGGTTTTTGCCTTTATGGTACAACTTAAAATTGTACATTTACGTTATGGTACAACTTCAGATTGTACCTATACTTTTTGTACAAATTCTTTTATGATACAACTTGAACTTGTACCTTTATGTGATGGTACAACTTCAAGTTGTAAAGTTTACCATAACATAAGGGTACAAATTGCTTTATGGTACAACTATAGGTGTCAATCGGGCGGGTTCGGGCTGGGTTCAATCGGGTTCGGGTTCAAACGGGTTGCGGGTTAGTCGGGTTGCGGGTTCATCGGGTTCGGGTTCATCGGGTTCGGGTTCAAACGGGTTGCGGGTTAGTCGGGTTGCGGGTTCATCGGGTTCGGGTTCAATCGGGTTGCGGGCAAATCGGGTTGCGGGTTCATCGGGTTTTGGGTCGGGCGGGTTGCGGGCGGATCGAATTTCGGGTTGTTCGGGCCAGCGCATCAAGTAACTTAACTCATTACTCATTACCAACTTACACATTTTATTACACTAATTTAAAATATTTTCTCAACTTTTTAACCAATTTATTTCTACCTCGTATATATATACTTTATTTTTTGAAAAAAACTAGTCAACATGTTAAATCAATTTGTATGACTTGCAAACTTGCTATGTAATTAATCATAATTGGTAAAGTATTATAGCTAATAGTAATGGTGATATAAATATTTGCAACCAAAAGACAACATTAATAGTTTATTTGATATTTTAGTATTAATTCAGTAGTAATTGGATTAAAGTATCTCGTTTAGTATAACCATGCAAACCTGGTATTTGGCGTGTGGTATTTGGCAAAAGCATAGTGATAAAAGGAGTTATTTCGAAATAACTCATTGCCCAAATAACTTGAGTAAACTGTTGCCAAACGAGTTATTTGTAAAATTGTTCGAATTATCCTAAAAACTGAACCATTAAAGATTAGCTATCAAATTTAGTAAAATTATTGTGACTTCAATCATAACTTACTCAATAGCATATATCCTATACACTTAGCCTTACCCTCAATCAACAATATTAAGCCAGTATATGTTGTTGATTGTATACCCTAAACCATCAATACATTATACACTAACCACATAACCTATACCCTATCCCCTAACCATATGTCTTTCAGTTGTGATTTTGCTAATATAGTTAATTTAAAAGTGAAATTCATACTTTGATTTTCAAAACATAGATAAAAAGTGATATTTGCTAATTGTTATACGCTAACCATATATCCTATACTTTACACCACATACCTTGTACCCTAACCACGTACAATAAACATAAATTAAAAAGGGATCTCCTGCCGTTAAAGACTTCAAATGATTTCAAGTGAACGTATGTTAATAAAAAACTTAGGACCGTCAAAACCATCAATATCTTATACCCTAACCATAAACACCCTAAACCATATGTACCTTATACCCTATATCCTAACCATATACTTTATATCCTAAACAGCGAACCGTCAAAGATTACTTATCAAGTTTAGTATAAATTGTTGTAATTAATGGTTAATTTATTTATTAGCCCATAAACAATTACATACATATGTATATATTAGCCTTCAAAGCATATCTTGAGTCGTGATTTCCTCATTTTTAAGAAAATTACGTATTTGGTTTATGGTTTTGTAATTTCCTCATTTTTGATAGTGCTAAAATTTGATTTTGGTTTCATCTATTAAGTTTTCAATTTCATCAAAATCCCAAAATTTAAACTTTACCTAACCATTTAAAAAACTCCTAATCGTGCTGGTGCTAGTTTGAGGAAACAGATTAATAAAATGGATGTTATTAGTCCACAACCCGTCAACTACCCCATTATTACAATGAACCATAAGAAAACACCCTCGCCAATGTTTATAAATTTACTAACCCGCCTAATTTTGACGGCCCGCCAAGTATTTTTTGTTTCGCGGGCCATTGCCAATTTTCAAGCTCGACTGCCAGGCGCCAAACAAATTTTATTTCCCGGGTCCTTTTTGGCTCTCTA